CACGAACAAGAGTAAATATGTATCGTTAAGCTGAAGCGGATAATTTCTCCTGCGCAGTAGTTTTTCATAAGTTCGATCAAGGATATAAGAAGACACATTTATATTCTCATACAAAATATTGCGTTTTCAGTTTGCTTTCTCTCCCTTTCGAGTTCCCGGTAGATTTCTAATTGAGACAAACAGTCAAACAACATTTCCGAGCGTTTCTATATGGTGAAAATTTTTATCTAAGATAGGGAATACAACCTGAACCCTTTATTGAAAATCAGTTTTGTTCAAACGATCGGCAAACCAGACGAGTCTGCCTTGCGGCGCATTGCGAAACAAAGACTGAACCGCACATAAAATGGAATCCGGAGCATCCCACGGTTTACCCAGGGTTACAGGCACGCGCAGGATAAATATGAGGAATTCTAGATACCGCGATATTGCGTTTGAGGTTCAACGATACCATCTCAAGGTATTTCGATTACAGTAGGCTCGAAGCGGGGAAAAAGCGATAATTAAAAGGTCTTGTTTAATTCTATTATTTCGAGAACTCTAACGCGCCACGAAACTTTTAGAGTGAATTGTCACTCTGAAGAATAAATCTCTTAAAGAAAATTGCATCTCTCCTTTTCAAGACTGGCTCTATTTTCACTCTTTAGAGTGAGATTCCACTCCAAAGAATTTAGGGTGTGTGAAAACAATTACAGAAATGTGGGAGAATTACAAAATGAACTCTAATATGGGCGATGAGAGAGAAAAAAAAAGAAACGAGAAGGGAAACGGCTTATAACGAGACAGAAAGAATGATCGATTTAGGTAGCGGTAGCAATAAGTATGCGTGCGCAAGAGAGCCGATCCACTTAGTCTGGACAGGTTCCAAATCCGCGTCCTTTTTCTCTCTTGGACCGAGAGGCGAGGTATAGACAAGTGTATATGGCGCATTGATCCGATCTGGCGTCCACCAGGACACGCCGCGTCCAGCTCGTCTCGCTACTCTTTCGGATACAAGTATCGACTACCAGCGATATTCGTCTGTGCACAACGCTACACCACATACTTGGATATAAACCGATGAACCCGCTAGCAATCTTAATAAAGCCAGTTATAACTGCAAACGATAATTGCAAATTTATTAAACTCTAGAAACGAGATAAAATTACCTCGCGGATTAAAAAGGAAAAAAAACCAAGCGGAGGTGGACTGGAATCAGAACGCAGGTGTTCAGGCGCGATGTTAATAATAAAACAACTCCTCTTTTATGTACATATGAGAACATTTTATCTTTTAATTTAGGTCCATTCACTTTCAACATTTAAATCACAAGTGGAATAAGTTTTACAAAAACGTAGATATCAGACATTAAAAATTAACTTCAAGCCAATCATTCTCACTGGGATTTAAAATAATACTTAAAAAGAAATATAAAATATAAATTACTGTGTGCCTGCACGTATAACAAAATTATTAATATAATAATAATAATAATAATGATAATGATGATGATGATGATGATGATGATGATGATGATGATGATGATGATGATGATGATAACGCCAGAATTAAAACTGATCTGATAAAAATAATTGCAAAATCGGAAAAGATATTTTTTTATAAGATAAAAACATTTTTATGTGTTTACGAAGCTTTCGCTTTTATCAGCAATATAACCAACTTTTGAATGAAACTGTAATGCTAAGATCGAATTTTGCTTAATATTCCACAGAATGTAATCTTTATTAAACGGTGTTTCCAGAGACAACTAAACGTTCAGGACTACGAATGCAGCTCTGATCTACGTTATGTATTGTTCAGGCACAATGTCAAGCCGGTAAGTAGCTTAAACGTGGAAGTCCCTCGAGAAAAGTTTTTCGCGCAGCAGCTACATCCTAACTTTCTGATCCGTCGCTTATCGATAACGCTCGGACGTGTAATACGACGCGTGGGCAATTTAGTTGCAGTTAGCTGTCGATTATCGCTATCGAAAACACATTCGCCTCTGTACTACAGATTCTCTTTTTTCCCCGATCCTTTTATATTTCATATGGTACAGATGTCGACAATTTTTCAGGTTTTTCGGAACACTTTCACCGCTCTTTACACCGTTTACGATGTCACGAACGAGTAAGTATATTAAATATAAAAGTATAATTTTAGAAATGTAATTATAAAAAATTAATTTAATACGTAAAAATAATTGTTAGAATATTAAATAATATAAGTGAATATAGTCTATAAAAGTACACCATAAATTTGAAAATAAGAGCCGATTAGATGCATATGTACGTGTATATAAATTTATTTATTATACAGATAACGTGAAAGTAGTAAACGCTTCAATCCTAGTTTTGAATCCTCTTCAGTACATAAATTAAATATAATTAGAATATATATATAATGCAGAATAGTAATGCAAATAAACATGTATTATACATATTCATATTTAAATCTAATGAGAACCGTCGTAATAATACTTAATAAACTTTTAAGTGAGGTGCATAAAAAGTACTCGTTTTACTTCTAAACCAACTACTTTTTACACAACAATGCGCCTTATTTTCAAATTATTACGACGGTTCTCATTAGATTTAGATATGAAAATGTAAATATGTTTATTTACATTACTCGTAATTGCATTCAATTTACGTACTAAGAAAGATCTAAATCAAAGGCAAAACATCTATTTTTATGTTATGTAATAAATGTAATAAATTGTATGTAAAAAATGAATTTATATACATACGTACATTCAGTCGGTTCTTATTGTACTATATTTATGGTACTTTTCTCAATTTATGATTTAAAAAAATATATATATATTAATTAATTTAATTTGAATTTTCATTCTCACTTTTTTGTCTGATTTATTTGAATCCTATCATCACTATTTTTCCGTATTGAATGCGTCTCTAAAAATATACTTATATAAAAAGAACGCACTGAAATGCAAATAAAATCACTAACTTGCACATTATACATTAGTTTAGTTTTTATAATCTTTTATTTACCAGCCATCACACACCCATTCGTCTACAAGCGTCACGACACATGCATCAGACGCGATTACAACATGCCGCCTGGTTGGGTAACACATCCAATCTCCTGATGATCTCCGAGAACGACATTTTTCTTAGAATGGGACCCACGTCGACGGAGGACACCCGCTTGACCGACACGGGCGTACCTGGGGTAATCTATAACGGCGTGCCCGACTGGTTGTATCAAGAGGAAGTATTACCAAGACCGCAAGCGATCTGGCCCAGTCCGGATGGCACGCATGTCCTCTACGCCACGTTCAACGATACCAGAGTGAGCGCGCTTGAGTTTCCTTGGTTTGGTACGCCGGGTCAAGATGGAGCCGGACCGAATCCCCTGAGCGCGTCCAGGTCCTTCCCACCCTCCAGATCGGTTAGATACCCGAGACCGGGTTTCCCCAATCCGGAAGTCGATTTGTGGGTCATAGATCTTAGTAACGTGAGCTCGGCAAATTACAACGGTACCGGCAACGTCACGTGGTCAACGAAAATCAAATTAAGGCCACCGGCACTCTTGGACGAACAGTATGTTGATTTATTAACAATTACTTTTTTACCCTAATTGCAAAATACACGAGATAATTTGTAGAAAATACAAATTCAGCATTGGAACAATGATAGGACATCGGCTTCGTTCATGATTTCGAATTAATGAAATTCGCGGATATTTTCAGAGATTACTATTTGATATCGGCCGGATGGGTTGGCGAGGACGCTTCGCAGATCGCTGTCGTCTGGATGACGAGGATGCAAAACCTATCTATAGTGTCGGCTTGCCGTACCTCCACGTGGGAATGCGAGGTGACCCACACGGAGCGAGCACCCGAAGGACTGTGGCTGGACGCACAACCGCATCCTTTCTTCGCTCCAGACGGCGACAGTTTTCTGCTGTTGGCCACAGTACAAGAAGGTGATAAGGAGCACTTCACCCACATAAAACACGTCACACTCACGCAACAAAGAATAGCAGTACTCTCCCATGGTCGTTACGAGGTGAGTAGCTTGTATATAAGATCAGTATACCATGAGTTATAAAGTTCTTTAGATAATTCTTATCAGAATTTAGAATAGAATTCTATTTAATACTTTATACGCTGTGTAAGATAAAAAGTGTTTAAAGAATCAGACATACACACGTTTAAAATACATGGCATGTAAAACTGAATTCTATTCTACAAATTAGATCATAAGTAGTGGATCATAAATTATTATCAGGAATAATCGGAAAAATATAATAACAAACATACATATAATGTATTATAACGATTAAAAATATACATATAGTATATAAAAAATAAGAAAAAAGACATTTTAATCGCTTTCTAAAACAGGTGAGCGAGATCTTAGCATGGGACACCAAGGCACATCTCGTATACTATTTAGGCACTAGAGAGAAGAGACCTGGCCAAAGACATCTCTACGTAGTACGCGACCCTGCCGCGGACGATCCTCGTCACTTCGAGCCATTGTGCGTGACGTGTGACCTTGGAGATGTTCTTTGGAGTAGTAGGCAAGTTAACAAAAAATTTTAATCGATGCAATTGATTCTCGGTGAAATAAAATTAATAAGCGGATTTGTTACCGCAGGTTCTATTACACAAATTGCACACATTTCGGTGCTTCGGTCAGTCCATCGGTGGACAACAACACGCAGGGTTACTACGTACTATACTGCGAGGGTCCCGGCCTCCCCCTCGCTGGTGTGCACATGGTGTCGACGCATAAGATGATTCGCGTGCTGTACGACACAAGGCTCCAACGCGCGGAAAAATTGTCAGAACTGGCACTGCCTACTAGACGAAACTTTGAGGTAGATAATTGATATTGCTACGAAAATTGATTTCGCCTCAATTTTAGATTGATATTACAACTTGGAACAATTGGCAGGTGCCGCTGCCTCAAGGTTGGCGGGCTCAGGTGCAGCTGCTGTTGCCGCCTTCGTGGCGGGAAGAGCTCAGGGACGCGGCGTTTCCCGTACTCGTCGAGGTGAACGGTCGTCCTGGTAGCGAGGCCGTCACAGACAAGTTTCGAATAGACTGGGGAACGTATATGTCGAGTCACAACGACGTAGTCTATGTGAGACTGGACGTACGCGGCGCTCGTGGTCAGGGAAAGAAGGATCTTTTCAGAAGGATAGGCGGCGTCGAGGTGCAGGATCAACTTACTGTGCTAAGACACCTTTTGAAGACGCACAAGTATCTCGACGTCACCAGGGTCGGCGTATGGGGATGGGGTTACGGTGGATATGTGACTGCTATGGTCCTCGGTAGCCAGGAGAATGTCTTCAAGTGCGGCGTAGCGGTGAATCCAATCGCTGATTGGATGTATTATAGTAAGCATCAATTTCGTAAAAGCGTATGGAGCGCACGGGAAAAATGATTTTGCTAAAGTATTTAAAAATTTAGCTAGATCTGAAACTAATTTTGTTAGACTAATAACTAATTATTAAAGTAATTATGCAAGGTTATTAGAATATTAAAATGTTTTTTCTAACATCTCACAGTTCAACAAAATTATCTTCAGATTTGTATCAAGCTAAATTTTTAGGTACTCCAGCAAATCCGCTCTTTTTGCACCAGTTAATGTAACCAATTAATTTTTTCTAGGAAAAAAAGTCTGGTTACATTAATTTTGGAATTCTGGAATGAAAATTCTGATTGAAAATGGACAAATCAAAATTTTCTGGTTGAACCTGTTAAATTCCAATTGATAACAAAAGATTTTGATATCACTCAGAATGTTGGTTATCTCAATTAGAATTTAACAGATTCAATCAGAAAATTCTGATTTGTCCATTTCTTCTAGAAGAACAAATTAGACGAGATGCACCGAAGAAAATCTTGTTGACACTACTAATAATTGACCTTCCTTCGACTGCAGATTCCGCGTTTACGGAACGAGTCCTCGGTGCCCCAGTTGAGAATTTTAAGGGCTACGTGGAGGCTGATCTCACGCAACGGGCGAGATTGGTGCCTAGTCATAGCCTTTATCTTCTTCATGGCCTAGCTGACCTCACAGCGCCTTACACGCACGGCGTTGCCTTCGCCAAGGCTTTGTCCGAAGCAGGAGTCATCTTTAGATATCAGGTAAGAGAATAAAAAAGAAACGGTGCCAGGTGTGTCGAAGAGTACTCGAGTTAATTGTCGCTTCCTTCTTTCGAAACAGAGTTACGCGAACGAAGATCACGCCTTGAGAGGCGTGCTCGAACACGCTTATCGTTCCATGGAGGACTTCCTCGCCGAGTGCCTCGCCCTGGATGCCTCCTAGTGCCTCAATCCGAAGAATCCTTTGTTGTCTCTAGTGCGTCTATTTCCAATACATCAAAAACGGACGTTAATACGAAGACTCGTCCTCGAGGTCACGGCAATTACACTCGTAAACGGGATGATGTTCTCGTTTAGAGCCTGAATCGCGATATAAATCAGGCCGCTGGGAATGCGAAAAAAAGCGAGAACAATCGTTTATTCGAATAAACGAAGAAAAGAAAAAAAACGCCGTTTGACGAGCGTATGCATGAGTTTATGCGGCAAGATGGAGACTGAATAGAAAGAATTATAAAATGGAAGTAAAATGGCATTTGTATGAGCACAAATATATCGTTACGACGTATATCATTTGCCTAAAGATTCCTCTTTACTACGGGAAAATCATTCACTTTTCTTTCTGGATGTGCATCTAGCGATATTTATATTGTCAAACTATGAACAAAAAAATCCAGAAATCACGAAAGATATCCGACAAGAACGAAGAGCGACAAATCGCTGCTTAATTTTTGTACATTAACGAACGATGTCGCTCGCGTTTCTCGCGCAAATTCAATATGATAGTTTCATAGTTTGTTAGGCAGTATGAATTCTTATTAAACAGCGCGAGCGGCTTGTTCGACGACGACGCGCGCGTCGCAAAAGTACTTGAGAGTTAAACGCGCGTACATGCCGTGAAATCAGGCGAGTTTCGAGAAGCGGACAAAGAGAGAATGGAGGCGGGTGTTCGAAAGAACTCACAGACTGAATTATACTACGTGCGGAGCTTATCGACGGCTTGCAATCCGCGTCGTTCGCGTAGCGTCATCAGAACGATGTAGTTGGATGGAAATCGGTGCCGAATGTTTGCGAGCTCGTCATTAACGTCTTGCTGTGTTCCAAGTCCCTAGGGCGCTCATATAGGAAAGGCCTGAGATTTCGTAGCGAATGATTAAAGGCGAAATTAATACGGATTGTATAACACTTCAACGTACAGAGCTTATTGGGAGTCTGCAAACTTGCACTTTTCTTTGTGCCCTACTTTTCAAACAAAATTTATTCAATCACAGCGCTCGAATAACTCCAATGTATGTCTCGATATCGGGGACCGGCTCTGCGGATCGTAATCGAAACGCTTTTACGGCGGGATTGAGAATCCCAGAGAAGGTCTCTAGGGTCTCTCGAGTCAACGTTAAACGTATGTTCGGAAGAGAGAGTTTGCAAGCTTCCGTCTTACACGTTCTCCTTTTTTTCTAGCTACGTCACTGGTGCCTCCCCCGATTTTAAACGGAGAAAAAGTATCTACGCCTATGCGGTGACGTTCGTCCACAGCCATCGACATATATATATATATATTTACCATTATATAGAATCCGGACGGTTACTGTGAATTTTGTGTTGTACAGCTTGGCGCCTAGTTCTATGTATCGTAATGTTACACGCGTAAAAAGTTGTTTCACACAGATCTTTAGTATCCCCATCTCGACCCGCCCCTCCCCCCTTCTCCCTACCCGTTTGAATTTTGAATATTTGTACATATATATATATATGTATATATACATATATATACATACACCTAGAAGAAATGTGAAGCTTCTTCGATGAGGTCCCGCGCAGATGCTTGCAGGAATCGTGAATGATTCATAGATAGAGAAGAGCGATATCACTTGTTTTTAAATAACTGATTTTCGATCGACAAGATTTACGAAAATATGCTTGTCGAAATATACGTGTGAACTAGGATTTCGTCGAAGGTGCAGGTATCAAACTTCATTGTATACTTCTTCGAAATATACATCGATCGATCCCGAATGGATGAACGACTAAACAGACGATATACTTACAATCGTCAGGACTAGCTGTCGATCATCGATCAGGCGCGATCGGCATACGATGTTGAGGCTCCCGAGTACTTGCTTGCTTTTACCGTACTTTCAGGTGGAACAGTGGAAGACAAGATATGGCGAGACATCGTACGCTTATTGTCACATATGACTGACTTCGCTGCTCCACTATTGTAAAAGCGAACGCTCGGAAACCTTATAAACGCGACGTCGTCGAAGAATAAAAGGGCTCGTAAATGTCTCGAAAATATCTGCGGCAACGTCGATGTTTTTACGATACGTTCTACATAGATTTCGTAATCTATGAGATTTCTCTAAAAAATCCGAAGCATAAGACTTCGGAAATTATTGCCTTACAATTTGACGTCACGATTCATTTGCGTAAAAGAAGTTGTGGACTTAGAAATTTTCTATACATACATATGTATATCTTTCAACAGAGTAAGCCTTTTAATTGATAAATTTTATTATTACTGGTTTATCTAGCGTATTAGAATTTATATAGAATTTTGCTACAAATTAAGACGAAATACCTTCATTATTTTTATTGTATTATAGAATGCGCTTTTTAACTAAAAAAAAAAAGAAAAAAAAAAAGAAAACATAGTGATTTCGTTGTAAAAATTTTCAATCGCAGATAATGTTCGAGACTGTATGTCAATATAATTTGTAGTTCGAAAATACGGATAGTTTACGAGTCCAAATGTTAATTAGAGAAGAAGCGCGCTCAGACGAGGAAGTGGCGCACGTCGCCATGTGTATGCTGCATGTACCAGCAGCCCTTAAATGCCGACAATCAAGGCTAGTGCAACTAATCAAACGATAATAAATAGAAACGGAGAGAAGAGAAAATTACATAATAATTTTAATGAATACTCGTGAATGATCGCTATTGGTTCGGGCGTATTGTAAACCGCGACGAAGTCTAGTATTGCCAAACTATCGTGGCCGAGAAGACTTCACGAAAGCGATTTTTGCGAGGATAAAAATATTATAGATGCGAAGGGTCGTTAGGTCGAGATGATGTGCCCGCTGTCGACTGTAGAAAGTACAAAGTTGTAACGCGTAATGGAGGCTTCGAAAAATTCTCCGTTGAATGGATTTATCCTTAGAGAAGATTTTCTCTTTTCACTATCTTTTGATGTTAGCTACTGAAAATACAGACGGCTGTAATGAATCTTCCAATAAAATTAATGTGCAACGTTACGTACAATGCGCAACAAGCGTTAAGTTTTAACTCGGACTCCTCCATTTCGCGATAAATGAATGGTCGTTTGTAGTGAAACAAAATGTTTGTTGTCAACAATATCGCTTCCATTTATTCCCGAATAAATATAACGCGAGCGATCGAAATGCGAATTGTTCGATCCTAAGAAGCGGGAGAAAGAGTGATTGAATTCGATCGATTGGATCCGGAAAATGCGAGCCACGATGAAAAAGATGGGGAGGGGGAGAAAGAATAATAATGGTAGAGTGAATGAGAGCGAGAGAATGTGTGAGTGTGTAAATCACAATCAATTATTAAATATAATAACGGCAGAACGTGAGGCAAGTCGTTAAACGTAAGCATAGGGCATCGGAAAAAAATATCACAAAGGCAGGCACGCAATATGTACAAGCATGCGAATTATGAAATTAATCGCAACAAAGAAACCTTGGTAGCAACGCATAAGGGTATCTATAGCTTTTGGTAACGTATTATCGCCGCTAAAAAGAAAAAAAACAACGTAAAAGGCAATGAAAAATACACTCGTATGGGCATACACGCAAACACACACATATACACGCAATATATTAAAAGAAACAGATAACTTTCTCACGCGGAAGTCAATATAAGGATTGGGCCCGTGCGAACGCATGAATAAAAATTAATGCACATTAAATACACTCGTCCTATATAGGTCGATCGACCGATCGGAACGATCGTCAAACAGAAACGCGTTAATTAAACCCAGCAGTCTAGATTTAAAAAATATATTATATTCACACT